AACCCCCCAAGACCCATCACAGCACAGAAACATAACCCCCAGCCCAAAACTATGCTGCAAAAACACCCAGAATAGTTTTTAAAAAGCAGAAAATGGCACCTTACCATACCAGGCAGCCTGAAGCCTCCCTGCAAACACTCACACATGCTCACTCAGAAGCAGAAGCGAGGCAGTCCCAAGCCTCCTCTGATCGCACACTCTCTAACTGCTGGGGCGAAAGAGCTACAAAGAAGCAGCCTCATTGCCACCTACAGTTAGAAATTTGAATTTCCCTCCTTTTCCCCCTACCTTTTTCTGTTCGTAAGTGGAAGCTCTGGTCGCAAGTAGGAGCACAATTTTGTGGCCGGAACTAGTCGTAACTCGAAATGGTCGTAAGTAGGGACGTTCGTAAGTCGAGGCACCACTTTATATACACTGTATAGTAAATGTCACTGTTCAACAAATGAAAAAGAAGGCCAGGACAAAATGATTATTTTACTCATAATTAAACAGGTCACAAATAATATATAGATGTTGTTATATCCACATACTTTACACAGTGTTCTCAGAAAAATTGTGTTTGAAACAGAAGCATTACCTTGAAAGAAGAGAGATGGCTTATGACCCCTGCCTCCAAAGGGAATAAATGGCCATTCTTTTTTTTTTAAATCCTGATGTCAAGGAAAGGCCATCAGTAATCAAACGATTTACATTTTTCTAGTTTTCATTATTTGATTAATTCTTATATATATTTGCAATGTATGAAGAGCTTTACAAATCTCACCTCATCTATTGTCTCTACAAAATCAGATACTTAAAACACTTTTTACCAATTACTGGAGCTAGCTTATGGCATAATGCTGCAAGAGGAACACCTATGTATCTGAAATGTGTCATTCCCACCTGAAGTCTAGTACCACAGATGCCAGTTTGGCTGTAGAGCAGATAATATGATTGTGTTGTTATGGTGCTTTGCTCTTAGCTGCTGAAGGATTTTACATGAGACTTCAAATTCTCAGTAATACCACATAGAGAAAGTTTATCAGTTTTTTTTAAAGCTCTCTGGGTTTCGTACACCTAACTTCCTTTAGAAACTGCTTGTTCAATCTCAGGCTTGTAGGTGCTCTATACTGTAAATGGGATTAATGTATTACACATCTCCCTTCAACAGTGTTGGACCCCACATGTAATTCAAAATCTGTTTATAACTCTTATGCCCCCCCCCATATAACTACAAAGCATAAGCAGTTTATTCACAGACACGCATATGCAAATGACATTCTCTGTCGGGGTTCTCTTCCATAGCATTGGCAATTCTTTCCATACAATACTGTGTGTAATGAGTAATAAAGGAACCCTTAATCCAGAGGCTGAATTAGAGATGTTGTGTTTGTGTATTCCAATCTCCATCCCTTTGTGTTTGTCCAGTCCAAATTTCTGACAGCTATACTTGCAGTGCCTCCTTGTGTTCCTAACACAGCTCTACACCTAGAGGCAGGTTTAGTCTCCATCACAGCGCATGCCATATTTTACACATATAATCGCTGGCTAAAACTTATTTTCTTTGTGCAAAGTTTGGCACCATTGACTCTTTCTGACACTTTCCAGTTGGAATGGAACTGTCACCTGACAAATTAAGCTTT